CGCCGGCGCTGATGCATAATGCCGCCCCTGCTCCTGTGGCCGCGGTTACAGCCGCCGGTGCTTCAAGCGCAACGGGCTTTCCGAGGCCATCGAGGAGGACCTGTTTATGCGACCTTGACGGTGTCGCCTGCAGCAGTAGCTGGAAAATAGCAGTAGCCGAACGTCATCCAGCAAAATACCAACCGGCCAGGCCTGACGTGCGGTCGTTCGCATTGCTGCTGATGACGGCCGCCACCTGTTGCTGTCAGTGCTTAATGGTCGCTTGTATGGCGAAGTATGCCAAATCGAAGGGTAGGCATGTTATGTTGAATTGACGGTTACAGTCAAGATAATAATGGCGATCGTAAAGGCAACGCTACGGTCGCATAAAATCGACAGCGGCTATCCACTGGCGGCGTTAGCTGAGAATAACTTGGAACTTATCAGTATCAACGTCAAAACGGAAAACATAACCAAATTGTGTCACATGAATTGAGATTTCATTTGATTGAGATGAATTATGCCGTTTGACAGGTGAGCAAACGTAGCATACGCAGAAATGGCCAACGCAAACATAATACGTGAAGCGTGTATGGCGTTTTACGTAATTCAGATTCTGTGCCGTTCAGGAATAACTTGGTACAGAAGTTTTAAATCTTACCGGATTTATCTTCGTCGCCACAGAAAAGATGGAATCAACGTCTTGTCGACGTGAAGATATAGTCCTATATTACATTCAGTGCAACGTGTTGGGTCGTTTGCGCTCGTTTTGCATGTCGTTGTCACTGTGATCCGGAAGAACATTTGTTAATCTTTTTACTACACTGCAGGACATTCGAGATAAACTGGAACACATTGTGGAGGACTATTTATCATCGGCCTGTTATATGCTTGCGCTAGAAGATCCGTTCACTTTTAACAATGCAATAAACTAACAGTAGCAGAGGCAGGAAGCTGAAACTGAAATTGGCAGTTATGTCGAATGTCCAATGATCGAGTCTGCCAGAGTCTAGCGGAGATGTTAGCGCCGTGACATGTGAGAAAATCGAAAATACTTCATTTAGATGCAGATTATGGGCAAGCGACAGCAGTTGTGCCTAAATGTATTCACATAATCCAGAACGACGAAGCCGTGTCGACAACGATGAAAAGTAACTGTGTCCTTGTAGTTTTATTAACTACAAGGACACATTTATTGTTACCAAAACTATTTATTAGCGCTATTGTGACCCAGAGTCTCGGCAGTTAAGGCAGCAGCAGACCACGTATTGTCACCGCTTATCGCTTTATGCGCGTATTCACGAGGTGGGCCGACTCGAAGCTAGGTAATCACAATTGTAATAATAGTAAAGGTAAAAAAATAAGTAATAACGGTTACTAGCGCCAGTACGATTGCATAATCCCCGTTTTTGCTTCGATCGACGCAACAGGTAACATTGTTGAAAGTAACGCTGACTAGTAGGTTTGCTGTTGTTTGCCCTAATGGCCATGAATAAATCGGATAGAGCCTACCCACTTTATTTAGCTAACAGTATTCTGTCGTCTATTGGGGCTAAAGTTAGAAAATGCTTCAGGCAACTTACTGTCCTTCTGCGAAGAGTGCAGCACTCAAAAGCGACCCAAAGTTGACGCCTAATGTTGAACTTTAGCAATGATGGAGTGCTCTGATTGGCGCTCTCGTTCATATTGAATTGAGATCACAGGTCAATACTAGTTCCTATAGCTGTGCTTTAGTGAGAGCGGCCAGTGAAACTTCAATCCATTTAAATGAAAAGGCTTGAATCTTCACATTTCAATTATATTGTGTCTGTCGACTAGATCCGTTTATGCACTGACGTCTGCCACAGACGCTAATTATCACTCCTGCTTCCTGCGGGACTAAAGGTAAAACTTGTGCCTATCTGCGGTTGTACATCAGTATTGTTGCTAGCGGATCGTAACTGCCGTTGTTGTCATGATCTGCTTAGACCGGGACGCTACCATCCAGTTGCGATCTTTTTTGCCATTTTTGGAGGATGATCAGAGCCCGGTATCCTGTACAGCCTCGTCTTTATCTTCCTGCAGGACAGCAGCGGAAAGTGTCGACCTTTTGCTTTTGCCCGACCTGACTACACTAAGCTTGCATAGAGCCACGGACAGGCCATGGCAGTCTGTGACGTACCTAATGCTGATAGTGTTGTCATGGCAGATATTTTATCGTCTAATCTATGATATTTGTATGGTAATAGTTCTAATTTGTACCATTGTTTTGAGTACGTGATTAGGTACGTAAGCACGTGCATGCTGGCCACATTACTGTAAGCAATTGTGGTCTCCCGAATTTTCAAATGAACAGGACTTTTTTGTATTGATCATTTTTTACTACAGTATAGACGCCTGAGCGTATATTGTTAAGGCTCACATAAAGATATATTTGACGTGAATTTCGTACCATTAAAACGCTCGTCTGGTTCGCTGTTTGCTTTGTTCTTAGTAAAATGTTTCTGTTCACAAGGACAAGGCCCTCTAGAATTGTACTAGAACGTTTCATGCTAGAAATGAGCCCTAACCCGGCATTTTTTTATGAAAGCTGTTCAACCCATCTGTTTATTGTTATTGGAATTGTTGATTCTGCTCGACTTGAGCGATTAAAATGAGCGAACAGGTGTGCGACAGTGACGCTGGGAGTGAGTGACAAAGTATGACCGCTTCGAGACGATGACGCTTATCGAAATCTAAAAGTATTATCTAGAGTATTATGCTAAACTCTAATAAACCTGGCCCACGCCTATCGACACTAATAAAAATAGTGCCATAATAAATGAATGAACTTTGTAAATTAGTTAGTTGTCCTTTTGTGACAAGCACCCACGGGTACCGATTTTCTCAAGTTCGACGTTAATGTTTCGGTCTTGGTCAGCCAGCTAAAATCCTGATTTGGAATTAGCATAATAAATGTACAGGAAAACGAAATAGTTCCTGGTATGACTATGGCAAGTGAAAAGACTAGAGTAGCACTTTTCTATGTGCTATAGGTGATACGAACGTAACCTGTGGTACATATCCATCCGATCTTAGACGCTCAACAAAATAGTACCATATATGTACCAACGAGTAGCATCTGCACCGGTGCCAAAATAAGGATTTGTTTTCTGCTTGAATGAGTGTTCACATAATATATTGTACATTTGGCAGAAGCGATTACCTATGAATCGATGTCAAAACGAAGCTTCCAGCCTTTTCCATCGTTTCAAGGTCTCGCTTGCTTTGGGTTGTGTTCGTTCGTACGCCTAGATATTGCAGTATAAAAGAATTGTAAAAATGAAATTTGTATTCTGAGCCTATTCATGATTCTAGACCGCTTGAATTATAAAAAAAAAAAAGCCTGAGCTTTTTCCTTGGTATCTTGAGGATGTTGATCACTTTCAGCTAAAACTTTACCATGATTTAGCTTTAACTTAAAGAAATATGAAAGAACTTAAAGAAAGAGAACCTTTTCATAGTTTTGTTTCGTTACTGTCTTATTGAATAAATTCAACTTATGCAATTAGATTCATTTACCTAATTTTTGACTGGTTCATTACGACCACTGCCATCCACGCGTGCTGGGACAGAACAAGTCCAGATAGCATCTAGATGGTAAGTAGTATAGTTTGTACCTTGTTTTGCGGACCTGAACGTCGTCCCTCTAGAAATACAGTTCCCTTTCCTCGGGATCGCATAATCGAAGTTTTGCCAAAGTTGATTATAACTAATTAGCTTGATACTATTAACTTGATTATAACAACGTAACAGCTCGTTCCGATCCGAGTCATTGATTCCGAAAGTTCGTTTCGAACGATGAAACGTAGCATTTATTAATACTTTGATCTGATATAGCAACAATGTGTTAACCTGTAAGCCATTTCTCATTCGTAATCGAATTTTTCATATGTGCCTCTGTCGAATGACCTAGTTTCTGCAGAGTCACGGACGCATGCTTAAAAGTTGCTTGTACCAACCGTTTGAATGACATCTTTGTTTAGTAATCTTCGACCATCTAAGATGCGCGAAGATTGAAATACGCTGAAAAGGAAAACTGAATATCAGAACCCAAACGGTCAGCAGATGGTGGTGGGTGTTGACTGAATGGTAGGATGAAGTCTTTCATCATATGGCGCGCTGCACCAAGAAAATTGAATAAAGTCTCTAAAGAGACACAAGGTCTTCAACACGAATTAGCAACAACTAATTCTTCTACAATATTGTGATTCATAATTCCAATATACAAATAAAGAAGGTGAAGTATATCAAAATGTACGCAGAAATCTCAGGGATGCGTGCCTGTCTTTTGTCTTCATGTATGCTGCTATTTAGAGCCAATTTAACAGAAACGTCATTCCAACTGTTCTTTCTTCTGAAATTCTAAATCGCTACACCAAAGCGTCAACGGTAATAATAATCCTGCTACAGAATTTGCGACTATCTTATAGGTAATAAAAAAAAACAACCTTGGTGGGGTTACGTTTATTTGCATCGCGGGAAGCCTTATCAAGAGTCTCTATATAACAGTGGGGCTATGCAAAGTTGTGTAGTAACGTTTGCCCGTGTGACCCATTTTGTAGAAACATTAATAATTAGTTCGCTGCATCCATCCATCGTGTCAAACCGGGATTTTTCCGAGTATTCTAGATGACCTCGAGTTTCAGTATGGAAAAAAAGATGGTCAGCTTGGTATCTATGATATGTATTGCATCTCTAAGACCAGCTACTTTTAGGCCTCGTAAATCCCAGCGTATCTCAAGGGAAATTTCAAAGGTAAATCTTTATGTCATGATATAAATTATTCGAAAAAGCATATTTCGACAGTGGGATTTATCTGCGATTAGTCCTTACCCAACAGTTTACTACCGAAAGGAACCCGAATGGGAAACCGCTTTTAATTAATTCTATTTATATGTTGTTTATGATGCATAATTATTTTGCTTCCTGTTAGGTCGCTTTAGTATAGTTCAAAAAAACAATCCTTATCCGTTAATTCTGTAAATGGTTGTCCATTGCAGAAAAACTAGGAAATGAGGGAGCGGAGAAACTTTCGGTGTTGTGCGACCTGGAATCGGTAGTCACGCGCTTCGTCAAACAGAGTAACCTCCGCTACGAGGTCGGTAACGGCTGGATGGCGCTGCTCGAACCGTTAGTAGCATTACGTCTCAATAAGGAGGACCTTTACGGAGCTTTTTATAACATGGTGCACCGATTTGTACCAAGGTACGCATGCCGCATTGTATATAGCAGTAAGAGCATCAAGCGTATAATATAGAATTAATGCTCGCAGCAGCAAGCAATTATAGTTGTGATCATTTCATTATAATAATAATATTTATGAAAAGCACGAGTGACCCAGGGCGTTTCCCACTAATCTCCATTGTCATTTCCAAAAACCCTTCACTCCTGAAATTATTTTCATCTTTGGCACAATTTAAGTTTACCTGTAAATCAAAAACGGTTAGTTAATGCGAACAGTCTGTTCCAAAGGCATGGCTGAGTACGTATAGCAAAAATCTTTAACTACGCCATTACGAAAGGGCTAGTGAGACTACCCGTTACCGTTACCGTTACCGCTATCGCTGCTTGACGAAACGCTTAACGGCTGCATCGAGCAGTAGAAGCTGATAAATGTAATTGGCCGTTTGTCGTACCTTATATGAGAACCTTTTCTATATCCGGTATTCAAGCTCTTCGGTCTTATTTTGGACGGGTCGTGTTCATCTAATTCCAGTTTTTCTCGAACAGGTCTATAAAACTGCATGTTGTCAATATGCGGTACTACCCGTTTGGAAATTTGGACCAGCGGTAGATACATGTTTACGGTTACAATGGAAATGCATTTGTCACCCGGATTCAACATGACTCGATTTTATCCGAAAAATGATCCATAAATATCCGGTAGTTTTGCGAAAATATTTTTTTTATACATGAAGATAAATGTTCTCAAACAAGACAGTCTTCCTGTCTATAGGTTCATCTTCTATGGGTAGTTGTAATGGTTCAAGCCGTTCTTAAGGTTGTCAACACAAGTTGTCTGAAATTATCTGGCAGGTCGAAAATAAACGTGTGGTGTACTCTAGACAAAATCTATCTCAACGGTTACCGGCTAGAAACCTGCCTAGGCACCGGTCTTTGCCATACATAGAAGTTTGTTCTCCTATCCTATGTTCTGAGATATAGCCGCCTCTATGGTATTTAACCTCCAAAAATTTCACCAGTAACAGACCGGAGCGTTGTTCGATTGAAGGTTGTGTTGTCTAGTTTTTCACGAACTTTGTAAAAGTTGTTTCACGAACCGTCAGTGGATTCTGCTGGCATTCTCACCTTCAGGAAGCAGAAGCTAAATCACTGAGCGTTGAGTTCCAGCACCAACGGTATTTTTTTATCAGTATATATTTTTAACGGTATCTTATTCTTTGTGACTTCCAGTCGTTCAAAGTTTTCGATCACCTTACCGGCTTTGGACAAAGCTATGAATATTATGCTGTCACAAGCGGATCCGGCAGACTTTGAAATAAAATAACGTTGGGCTAAAATGATGGTTTCCTATATGTTAGAGATACTTTTATTTTCAACACCCCACTCCTCTCAGCGTTCTGACAGCTTCAAAGCTTGTTCACGGTTCCATATGTAACTTCCCCGTCCCGGGTTTCTCCAAGTAAATCGATGGCGGGATTGCCTTGCCCATCAGTAGCTTTTTTAAGGCATAGGACGGCCGATGTTGCACAGGTTTATATCGGGATTAATAGAAGCGCATGGTGGACATTCCTTTGCTCAGTTCAGTAAGCAGTCGAGGCATGGCGACAAGGTCTGGTATTGTCATCAAGTAACCAGACTACGCACTTTCGATTGTCGTCTCAACGGTTTTTGAGTATCTGGGGGAGTTCGAGATAGCGGGTTGTACTCACTGTTTCGTTTTCGGCAAGTATCTTAAGCAGCACATGCCCCCTAACGTTCATTTGTAGTAGTACCGCTACCTTCCCTCTGAACCCAGTGGATACTACCCAAAAATGCTACTTCTCCTTAAAGCGACGCCATTCTTTCTTTGACTGGTGGTAGAGACTGAAGCGCGTGTCGATTATAAATGCCGTATGCGCCAAAAAGTTGTAAGAATTGCACATTGAAGATAGCACACGAATTTCGAACGAACATGGAATGAGTTCACTAGAAAATGCTGTTTCTTCTTAACTCATTTCTTCTGGAATAATCTCGAATTTTCTAGAAAGCTCAACGAGTTATCAGACAAGCATAATTTGAAAGTTTGAAACCATATCATATTATTGTAAGTAGGGAATGAACTACTAGTATTTAACGGCATCGTTCAGATCTACACCGTGTGCAAACAAAGATCCGAAGCTAAGACGATACACAAAGCGACTATCGATAGGTGAAGTTGCTCAAGTCTTAGGGATCTGAATAAACATAAAGTCTCAGATCATATATGAGGTCCGAGAAGTTTATACAGGTTATGAATTGATCTCTTTAAGTATACAGAATTAAAATGATAAAGAAACCATATTCGGGGTATTTATTTTCACGAAAACTATGGAAACGAAATTATGGGATGATTTCATTAGGTATTAGAGAAAATTGGCGGGCAGCGATAGCATAAAGCTTAGAGATTATCCAGCGACCTGTTTAAGCTGACTGGGCAGTTTTAGTCACTCAGAGCTATGCAGCGACACAGATCGCAGAAAACCGAAATGAATTCAAAAGTAAGAAGACGCAGGTGTAGTTTTATTTCACGCCGCTACTTACCACACACCATCATCAGTGGAAGATCTATTCTGTTGTCATTTTTGCTAAGGCAGTATGGGTAACCACCTGAATATCGGTACCAATGAACCGTGTTGTTGTTAATGGCAACGAATCTACTAAAAAGCTACAAGAACCCTCAGACCGCATGTTTGTCATGGCTTAATATCTAGGGTACGTAGGCTTTTCTTTGTGAAACTGATTTTTCACTATTTTAGTTATATTGTATCTGCTGTAAAGCGCGCTAACCCATGATAGCCAGTTGTGCCGGAACCTATACGGAACAGAAACTCGTCTCTTTTACACACATATTTTGCTAAAGTTTAGTTGCAGTAGATGTCCATTGATTAACTTTGGTTTTGACTGATTACAGGAGTTGTTTTCAGGACGGAGACGCTCGTTTTGGGAGCGCAGCGTTCCATCTGATGCGGTTGTTACTGCAATATCACGATCCTGAGATCTGCTCATTTCTGGAAAGTAAGAAGGTCGTTCCCGAACAGTACGCGTGGCGGTGGCTCGCCAGCGTCTTCAGCGAAAGCTGCGACCTCGCCGTAACCCAATCGATTTGGGATATCTACCTACAAATATGTGATCCATTCCTCGTTTTCTACCTTGCTCTTGTGCTTCTCGTCAATCTTAGGTAAGAGGGAAAACAAGACATACGCTTGCAACTTTAGATGTTTAGTTTTGCCCAATCCTCACTGAAACTGTTTTCTTTGCAGATAATCTTATAGTATCTTGCAAAATAGCTTGCCTTAACGCCCACGGTTTGCCATCTCTGTACGAGCCTCAGCCAATAACGTATATCCCAGGAAAGGTCTTCTGGGTGTATATTCATGTTTGAAGTTACTTTCGATGTCGGAGTACTAGCTGTTCCTACTTCCCACAGTAATACGTATTCACTCTTACTCAGAAACATGTTACCTGCTAAGCCTCTAATAAGCTTACAGCACTTTAGGGTTATATATCTTATTGTTGCATTATTTAAACCGCTTTTTATGTACTTACACAGAATTTCATGCAATATTGCAGTAGCTGTTCAATATCATTGGCGTATCACGCAGATGTTCTCATTAATGGCTTGCAGAGATCAGATTCTCGCGTCGAAGACCGAGCCACGCGAAAAAATTGTCGAATCGATTTCGTCAGCACCCTGCGCCCTAAATGCCGACGACGTCGAAGACTTCTGCCAGCTGGCGCACTTCTACTCGACCAAGACTCCGCCGTCGATTTATGCCTCGTTTCGGCATTCACTCTTCGGCCTGCGGACGCAATCGTCTAGTTCGGCGTCGCCCGCGACCTCATCGACTTCGACTCCTGAGCCGGATCATCCTACCCGGCCAGCGGGCGTTACCGAGGACGAGGCCATCTCGGCGAGCCTTGCTCAAGTTCTGTGCCTTCCTGTACCTCCTTCCGATCTACTGCTCAACGAAGCGCAGCGCATGAGTCTGCCCTATAAATCGCTCGTTCGATACTTTGTAGTGGATTGCCGGCCAGCAGAACAGTACAATGCAGGCCACCTCAAAACAGCGTTTCACCTAGACGCAAGTCTGGTAAGTTAAGAAACCGATACTTTGTGTTTGGCATTGCTAAAAAGCTGTGCAAAGGTTTATTGTGAGTTTACTTCGAGCTTAAATTTGCGTTACTTCAACTCAGCTGTCTTGTTAAACGTCTATCCTGGATCGAGTCGACGTTAACCTGCATCATGGTGAACACTTCCTTTGCTTTTGTTTAGATGCTGTCCGAGCCAACAGCATATAGTATTGCTGTACAAGCGCTTTTCACCGCACAGAAACACATGGTGGAAGCAGGCAAGGCAGGAGAACACATCTGCTTTATGGGAAGCGGACGCGAGGAAGAAGATCAGTACGTAAATATGGTAGTCGCATCGTTCTTACAGAAACAAGTTACTTATATCTCGCAGGTGCGCGGTGGATATTCTGCCCTGCACGACCTCATCAGCGAGGAGTCCCATTTAGACGAGTACCTCACCGATCACAACCCACAACAATGCATCCAGTGCGCCTCATCAAATCATAGCAACAAGTCGGGTTCGAATCTAAGTACCGACACGGATGAGTCAAAGGAAAGCACCTCGTTTTTCTCGCGCTTCCGACAGAAAGAAGGACTTTTGGGCAAGTTGAAATTGAAGCTTTCTTCAGCACAAGATCTAAAGGAAGAGTTCAAGGTAAAAATGGTTGGCTCGGAAGTTTGATTGTTATCTGCTTCGGCGTCTTTTTATAATTGCAAAGGTCCAGAACAGGATTTAGAATATGAACATCTTCTATTTTGGTTGGTAAGAAGCTTTTCAAATGAGCTCAGAAGCCCGCTTTCTAATGTACTTAAGTCATGGTTTAGGAGGACGGAATACGTTTGCGGAAAGTATCTAGTGGTACTTTTATTTGTACGTCTAATTACTGCATTCCTTGTCGCACTGTTGTTATTGACTCTAGGGCCTAATGATTGGAAATTCAACTCCAATTGGTGGACCAATCAACCCTGAACGGCATGTGTCTAGCGGCGACAAGCTGGGTAAAAGATATCGTGCCGCTGATTCAATGTTCACTTCAACTTCGATTGATGACGATGATCTTCTTGGTATGATTTATTCATTGATCGTGCTCTGCTTGATCATTTTTTGAGCCTTATCGCACCGATTATGGCGTATATAGGTTATTATAAGCTACGTTATTATAAGTGCACCCTTCGATATATTTGTTTAATTCGTCTGTGTGTACTATATACGGTACTAAAACGGACAGATAGTAATTAATCTCACCTGATAACAGTTTATCCAAGGATGCTTGCATACCTATATTTTTACGTATTGGCTCAAGCTCAAAAAGGCAGTACTATAACGATCTCTGCGGAATGCCCTCTACAGATGACGGTGGCTGTTTGGGTTCGGACGCATCCGTGGGAGCTGAAGAAGTGAGCGTAGAAGCTTGGAAGCATAAATCCGATGTATTAGCTCATTACGAATGCGAAGAGCTGCGGCCGGGAGCAAAGACTCTTTGCCCTAACTGTCACCTGCTCATTTCACGGACACATTTATTCGTGCTTCGAGAGCTTTCATCGAAGAAAAACTTTGCACATATTGTAGCAAGACGTCCACTTGTGTCTATTGTGAAGATAACCTCGAAAAAGAGCCACCCCGAGCTAATTACATTCAAGTACGGATATTGTCCGTCACCGATGGAGGCTGATGCGGATGAAGGCGAACCCGGTAAGACATTTCAGATTACGGGTAGCGACGTGCTTTTTATACCGAGAGCAGCGGACGCCATTAAGCTCGTCAAAATGCAAGTAATGCGGCTCATTGACGAAATTGAGAATAGTAAGTAGCTGGAATGGAACAAGTTGGAAGAATCGGAACGGAAAAAGAAGAGTGCCAGCTAAGCAACAGTTATGGCAACAGCCATGTGGCGTCAACAATGATAAGACCATAAGTAAAAGCAGTGTTCGACCATAAAATTGACCATCAAGTGTTGCTAGATTAAGCAATTATAGATGATGAATTGATCTATTTTGTTGATTGATGGTAGCCACAGCAAGACAACCAACCATAGGAAATTTCATCTTGATGGCTTTTGCGTCTCTAGCGAATTTTCCTGCTGCCTAGCACGGGATGCATTTGCTATCATGTGTAGTCAATTGCAAATTATAAAGGATCAGTTTTGATTATTTAGGATCAGTGTATGATTTACACGCGCGTTGGTGGAGAAGGATAGAACGAGTTCAACGACGTTCATTCTGAGCTGACGGGTCCTCCATGCAGACGTTCCAACTGACAAACAACTACGACGACTGTGCACACAAAGGGTATCATGTTGTTTTTAACTTGTACAGAATAACTGGTCTGGAGGAAAGCCTAATTTTGAAGGAAGTTACTTTTTCAGATTTTGCCCATTATACTAATAAATGTTAACCTATTGGCACACATAGTATTTGAATAGTAATCAAGACTTCGTGGTTCGAATGGCTTCAGCCAGGTCCACCTCGAAACAATTAATCTCTATCATGTGCGTTGAACAGAAATCAATGGTAAGGTTTATTACGTTTCTTTCACTACGTTCTCATCATAGTCAATCGCTGACTATAATTTTCGAACTTCTACTGCAAGCGACTGGTCCTAACGCAACCGAAATGACCTTTTTCGTATAGAGCCGACGCAAATGATATCTTGTCGCTTAATCACCAAGTCACTGGACACGCTTCTTCTTTTTATTCCCTTTTTGATACGTTTATATACACCAATATATATATATATATATATTGGTACGATAAAGCACTATATATATATATATATATATAGTTTTATCGTGGCAATAGATGTTAAAAGCTAGGTGTACTCTACGTGGCATACGAGTACATTTGACGACATGGTTAAAGTGGTAGTCGTGTCATTCTGCGTGACAGAGTTAATATGACAATAGTAGAACAAAATCGATTCGAGACACAGAAAACGTTATTTAAGCGACTTTTATCAACACGAAGAAGAAGGAGAAAGGCTTCGCTCATGGGTCAACTGCTTTATCTGAGGGTCTTCCTTCATAGCTTCGTAGCACTGAAAAATGATTCCCGAGAGGGTAAACTTTCATTTTAATGCAGATTACCTCACCTCATTGTACTTGTAGTACGACTATATGCTAAGTAACTTTCACTAGTGATACTTTTTCTAGCGCTAGACATTGCTGACCCTATCCAAATGACACAAGCCTGTGACAAAAACTCCAACAACCAAGAAGGTATCACGCAAGGTGAACAGATCGAAGGCTGGTATGTTACCAGGATATCAGAAGTAGTAGAAATGAATTCTTACATAAGGACGACTGGGGTGAAATTGTAGACCGGATGATGGAGCCGCACATTTTGTCGTCGTTAGATTTATGTTTTTGACAGTTCGACATGGGTGTTTCAAATTATACGTCCATTATCAACACTATCATTAGCGATTGTTATTATTTCTGCAAAAACTATTCATATTCTTGTTTGTCCACCCACGTGACCCGTACAGCCCAAAACATATATAGATACAAAAATTTTCTATCGGTGTGTAAAAGGATGATGAATGCATAGATATCTAAGTTAAGCGTGTAGGAGTAACGTAGCACTTCGGGCCTTGGCGCTTCTCAAAGGAACGAACGAAACGCTACAACGAATCGATAATGCGTAATCCGGCAGAAGCAGAACGAATATCGGTAGTACACGCGACGACCTGTGATTTTCAGACTCATTTTTTTTCTTTCGAAGTTATTCTAGGTACCTCTCTGCGAGAAATAATGTTGGAGAACGAAAAGGCGCCAATTCTAACAAACATGATACATATATATACATTCGTTGCGCACAGATCATATTCTTCAGAACATCTGCCATTTCATTCTATAAAAAGATCTAACGAAGCGACAGCAGTGGACAGTGGGAACTGCAACAAGGTGACGTATGACTGCCGTATGAATAACCATCGCTGCAAATTGTGACACAACGATACGTAACGGCAATATACAAAAACGCGTGATAAGTAACTGTGCGTGTTTTGGTACGAAATCATAAACAGACGACAGACGAATGAGTGTAAGATACTTGTATGCAGACCTACGTAGATATAAAAAGCAATACAGATTGTTGTTAATTATTTGAAATCTGTTTTCCGCTTGGCCTAAAAAAGCGGACAGACTCTTGGGGCTGTAGAGTTTCCGGACGCTTGCGGTAGGACAGGAAATAGTCAATTAGTTGATGAACTGGGATACACGCAACTCCCCGACGCATCCCTAGTCAAGCGTATTGAAAATATGATGTGTATCAACGTGCTACGATTTAATCCTGCAACGAAATTGGTCCTCCAATGCTTTCTGTGGTATTTTCTTAACGAATTCAAGAAGATAAACTACTATGGGGAAACAACACAGTACGAAGTGACATTTTAGCACATACACATATTATTTAACAGGATGACAGAAATGAGATCGTGTAAAGAGCAGCAACAAACATTATTGGCAGATATTAAACTCCAGAACAGCCTTAAGCCTTAGCCGAGTTAACTACTACACGTATGGACGTGCAGAAAATATCCTACCGAATGTCGAAACGTTATCTCTGATAGTTTGGAGAAAAGACGCAGGCAATAACAGGAGGAGTAAATGATCAAATGGAAGATGTGAGACCTGTCGGGTCCAGTGTTTGCTTTTTCTGGTTTTTACAGCCGTAACGTTCTCACTCATTAGAAGTACCGAGACGAATACTGATGGCTGAGGGAGTATATGTGCAATGTGTCCGTCCATCCTTCACGATGTGAACATGTGAGAAGTGTGCTGAAACTGCAAGAACAACCGACTGCAACAATAATAAAAGTGAACATGTTTGTAAATAAAAATATATTTAACATAAAGGTGATGTCCTTAGTTATCGAGCAGCGAGTTGCATAATGTCGTAGTAACATCAATTATATGCACGTAGCTTAGTTTAGAAGCCATGCAAAAAAACAGTAGCTCGATTTCTTGAAAAAAACCATACAACCGTGTGAAAATAGAAGTAAACATCCGGTAGTGCCAAAGGTCACGTAACTGTTTAGACAGCTCAAAAGGCGGAAAACTAAAGGACGATGTGAGACCTGACGGTTCATAGGGTTTACTTTTTCTGGTCATTGTAGATACGTTGTATGACGTTGTAATTTCTTTACGTAAAGAAATGTTAGCTGTCATTTTAACTAATGTAGAAATTCAAGTTATAGTCTAGTCATCTCTTGTTTTAAGAGCGTAACTTACTGCTCGATCTTTATCCTTTCTCGCTAAACTCTAATTGAAATTTTCTAATGACTCTAAGTTATACTCTTCCAGGTTAAATAAAATGAAAGGCTCAAAAAAGTAACTGGTTCTATAAAGTGTCTTCTCCTACGTGGAAAGGACTAGCTTCACGAATCTAGCTAAAGCTCATATCACACGACGCTTCATGCAGTGGTCGACCTGAAGTTCACGAGCTCAAGCTTTACCAATAGTTACACTATACATTATACATCATAATACTGCTATTATTATGCCACGTCCAGCGATTAAGCTTGTCAAAAGTAAACAGCATGATACAGATCACAAATCGTTTACATATAATCTAAACACGATATTCATCAGGCTTATGAAACTTCTGTACCCTGTATAGGCAATAATGGAAACTGTGCACCATATAGCGCGTCACTATAGGTCTCGCCCGTCATGACTCACGTTTAATCAGAGTAGGTTTCTTTAGGGCGCCGGAATTGGGGATAGGTTGAAGCGGCGACGGAAGCCTTCAAGGAAGAGTGGCATTGCCGCCAGGGGTAGACAAGCCTGGTGCAAGTTGTCCAAGGCTGCTTGGAGGATGGATATTTTCTTTGGATCACATGCTCGAGATCCTCTGCTACCAGACCATCACGGATTAAGCTAATTCTGTATGTGGTAATTAGGATAATCTTGAAACCGAAGGGTTGTATAACGGTTGAGAGGGGCAGTCGATAAAGGTTGAATAGAAAAGATGAAGCTATTAAAGTTCCTCTGTATCTTTCTGTAATATGTTGGCAGAAAAGTCTTATATGAGGAGGCATATAAATCAACGAACATACGTCAGCCACAGGCCAAAAATATAGCAAGCCACAAACCGCAACTCTGCTACCTTCCCTGAATTTCGTTGCTACGAAACACTACTTCCTGTAAATAACTAAACTGTCTGTGTGTAAATTACTAGACGAAGAACTTTTACTCCATTTCTGGGTGCACGTTTCTTGTTGTTTAAATATGGCTAGTCTCCTTGCCAGCAGATCTGAGAGAAGTCTATAGCTGACGTGTTCCGTTAGGGATAAAGAGAAGCGTTGCATTTCACCAATGTGGAAAAAGCAGTCCGAAACAAAAAAAATCGTAAAATGAAGCCATCCAGCGCGGCGTAAGGCCCGCGATTCCTTTGAAGTATTCATTCCTAATCCTGTCAAGTACCAGTGCCTTTCTTGAGCGTAGACTTTCAAGCACTTGAGTAATTTCCACGACAGAGGAGTAACTCCTGGTCCAGTCTTTCGCAATCGTCTATTGCCGGTTCGTTCCACCGTTGTATTGGGGGTAAAACCTCTATTCGCGCGATGAGCATTGATAAGGCGATGGGATAGGATATGGGACATTGACGGGTCGTCAAACCATTTATATGACCGACGTTCAGCTTTCTTTCGGAGTATAGTTTCGTGTTGTTTCAGGTATTTTTTGCCCTGGGTATCATATGTCATCCGGAAGATTACTTTAAGCGCTGCAGTTAGTGGCCCCAATACCGCTTGTGGTGTTGCCAGTAACATAAAGGTATTTTATGCACGGCGGGCCAGGAGGTGATTGCAATCAAATTACGGCCAACATCTCCTTGCACAGGTCGATAATCGCAGGATGTCGACAAGATAGCGCAAATAAACCTTAACATCATCAATCGAGGTCGATATTGGGAGGACTTTAGAAGCACGTATTTAGAACTTTAGTCTAATTTATGCGGTAAAGGAAAGGTCTAGTCTGACGCGAATGTGTGTCTTGATCTGTCCTGTTTCATAAAAAGAGCGATTTTGTAAGACGTATTTGATTTTATCCCTTGTCGCACTCGTTGCAAAGATATCTATGATAGAGGTTCCTGCAATATCAATAAGCGTTAGTATCGCGCTGGAATTTACTCTCCAGCAATCGTACTCCGCCTCGAAATGTGCCCTGAAGGGATGATATCACTCCGCAGACCACCGATGAGCTTTTCTGGGAGGGTCAGAATGTACTCTTTGCGATTCGGTCGTACACACACCGCCACAAACTGCATTCTGGGACCATAAAAGACTATAACGTTGTCTTCCACATAGTGCGGAATAAAGTCTTGAACTATATGATTATAAAACACTGAGGTTGGTCGCGACGCCTTCCCCTCCGCGCGAGGCAATAGATGGAGTAAATTCCCTATAAGTCAAATGAATTTTTTACCCAGGTGTCCGTGAGCACGAAGCTAGAGTTGTACTAAACTATTGTCAGCATTTTCCATGGTTCTAGCCTAATCTCTCTTTTGAAAGCGCGCATGCGACTGACTGCGATTTGAAGCTGCTGTCCCTAAATATACTTTGTGGTTTCAGCGCGATCAGAGCCTGATTCAAGGAGTCTTCAGTTGTTAGTGCTAGCAAGAGCTGCGGTAATCCCATAATGAGTGCCAACACGGTGTTAGATCGATTCGGGTAAGAAGGATCTGGAACGGCGACGATCCTGTTACGCCCCTTACGAAACTTGAACTCCTTACGAAACAGATGGTCTGGGCTGTTGCATCTAGGCTGGCAGACTGTTTTTTGAATCTCGTCGTGGCAGGCTACAGACAGACGTGTCCATCGGAATCCTTTTGATCCTCATTTTTAAAAGTTTCTGTGTATATGATCTTCTAGAAAAAAATACGCAAAACGCCCGTTAATATTCCATTAGCTCCCACAGAATTGTTCCGCCTTTCCGACGAACCTTATTGGGCTCTCTTAACCTCTAGCATAGCGATCAACCATCCTTATCAGTTACAACATTAATTAGATCACAGTTGGAGATGAGTAAAACCAGAAAAGTATTGCTTCAGATACCTTAGCAATCCTAAAGTTTACCACTACGAATGTCTGAAGGTCGAAGGTTTTTAAGAAGCTGAAATATACGAATGGTTTTATTCTTTGTTTACAATGAACACCATTTGTTACTTTGTAAAGTTCAATTTATTATACTTCTTCTTTTTGTAGGACTCCCGCATAGTACGCACATTTACTATCTAAAACGTAAATCAGTCGTTTCAAGAGGAACCTTTGTCAAGATTAAAATATATATTCCTTTATCACCTATTTATCTATCATCGTTGATTTGATTCTTTAATATTACTGTGAGAAGCAGAATGAGTCAAGGCTTGAGAGAATTTGTTAGCCTTAAATAAACCGTCGGAAAGTATAAGAAATCACAATTTCGCAAATCAGTCGTTTTTTACTGCCCTATTTTCGTTTCAAACATTAATCTTAATATAGATGCAGGTTGTCACTAAGAGATCTATGACACTCGTACTGATTTACATTTAACCTTAGCTAGCGGTTCTCAAATTGATCCCTGCCAGCTTCGCCACACGTCCGTGGTATTCGAATTGAATAGCCATAACCAGCGACGTCCCCTGGGAATTTGCGAACGGAAGCACTCTCTTGAACACCTGGTAGCCTGCGCTCGTTGTGCTTACCCTCTTTAGGATCATAGCCCATTATGGGCGTCTTAAGACATTTCACCATCACAAAGTAATTGAAATGATCTCCAGCGCCATTTCAGTCACTAGTCATTGGTTTCGGGTCGAACGTCACACAAACATCGTAACCCTCAGTGATGTAGTGAAGCAGGAAACACGACGTGTGAACTACGTCTGCAGTAGCGATGTTCGACTCCTTTCAGCCAATCTAATACTGTCATTTCAAAAGTATAACATAGGTGTTTGCAGTGTATGTTCATAATTTGGCTCACGATCACTTTTCCGCATCTTACTTCACAATAGTATGGATTTTAGCCTGAC